AGCTCGTGGGCACAGCAGTGGCGGTTTGCCTCCGGCGCCTTGTGGTAGGCATTCCGCAGCTCCTTCACTTTGATCCTACATTGCAATGTGTCCTGGACATGGCCCCTTTCTGTCATGCATCGTGAAATCTGTCCGTAGGTATCATAATTCCTATGGCTGGAGCACAGCTGGGACTGAACAGCCTCCTCTCCCCAAATGCTGATGAGGTCCAGCAGCTCGGCATTGCTCCAAGCGGGGGATCGCCTGGAGCATGCATGGCCACCTGGAAAGATGCACTGAGACAACTGCACGCATCACCGGGCAAACAGGAAGTGGACTTTCAAATTTCCAAAGGAATTTAAGGGGTGGGGATGACTGTTGGTCATCTTAGAGCAGGGCAGTAGAGTTCAAACCGATGACCAGAGAAGTGAGAACAGGCATTGTGCGACACCTCCCGCAGGCCAATCGCAGCACTGAAATCGCCACGGTGTCAACACTGGCACCGCAGCACTGTAACCCTGGCGCAGAAAACTCTACGCCTCTCGTTGGGGTGCTTTTTTTTAAAAGCACTACAACTGTGCCGTTTCTGCGCACTAAGTGGCTTGGCAGTATGTACACCTGGGGAGTTACAGCACAGAAAGCTGTTTTACTGCGCAGAAACTTGCCAGTGTAGACAGGGCCTAAGACTAGGTAACAATGTTTTCCTGGCATAGCTGTGACGAGCCCAGCAATACTGGAAAAACCCTGTGTAGACATAGTTATATCAGCAAAAGAGTCCTTGTCATTTGGGAGCTCATTTAACTATACCTGCAAAGATCTTCTTATGCCCATATAAATTGCATCTCCAATCGGGGCTCTGCTGATATAGCTATACCAATATAGCTGTATCGGCAAAGCCTTTCTCCTGTCGACTGGTCCTAAAAAAAGCTTGTGTACAAATATTGGTAGTATCTAAAATCAAGCATGGTCAGGAATTTTACAGTGAAACACTATTCCAGTGAAATTTTTAACGATAGGTATACAACAGTTTTCAACTTTCAACATTAAATGTAATTTTTTTTAGCTGTTATACATCAAAAGGGCTTGTTTTTACATTGAAAAGAAACTGTTGTTTAGAACTGTATGGTTTGAAAACATTTTTATGAGATGACTGGTAATGGGATATAAGGCCTTTAACTTCTGGGTTACCATTCAGAATCCAGTCAAGGTCAGAAGTGGCCAAGAGTTATTGCAATATAATGACAGGTTTGGCCTGTGTGCTAGATAAATATAAGTAGTATTTTTAGTTCAGTGTCTAGTGTACTGGTGTAAGCTTCACAAAAACTACCACCACATTGGCACCATTCTTGAAGAACAATCAAGGATTGAATGGGCATGACAAATATAACAGTCCCCCTTCATTGCTAGAAGTGGTAACTGCAGGCTGTTTAAAAGTCTGTCTGGGCTGGATTAATGTATTTTAAGAATTGCTTGTATTATTCAAGAAATGTTATCTGTGCTGAGGGGTGGGGTAGAGGTGGGAATGTTGTGATACAACCAAACCCTTAGGTAAACAGAGAATTTTAAGATTAACTCCTAGTTAGTTTTCACATTTCTTTCTGGAGAGAATAGAGAGATATTAAATAGGGTGGATCTCCCCATATCTAATCTAGACAATACCAGAAAATACTATTAAAAATAATTATTCATCTCGATCACATATTATGGCAAATGTGGGGGTAGCCCAATGTGCAGCAAAGCCACGGGATGGTCTAAGGTAATCACATATCATATTCTTCAACTTTTAATGACATGCAAAATATGTTTTTATTCAGTAAGAAGTGTGGTTTGTCATACAGCTATTGTGGAGGGAGGATTAATGAGATTGTGTAAATCATAGCTATTGAGGATTAACCCACTCCAATATTGCAGATGAGAATGAAGATTTGCAGAAGCTTGCAGAAGAGGAAATAGTTTCCTGTCAGGAAGAGATAACTGAATTGAAGCGCCAGGTATAGTCCTTTGTAAAGTAATGTCATATATCCGTCTACTATCCAAAGTTAAATGAGCACTAGCCAAATCCTGTCCTCATTTACAACCATACAACTTCATTCAAATTAGTTTTTCATTTTTTATAGTTGATTGTTAGAAACATGGGATTGTGTTTCATTCTAAGAACTGCAAAGTTGACATATTATAGAATCACAGAAATACAGGGCTGGAAGGGACCTTGAGAGGTAATCTAGTCCATCCCTCCATGGACCAAATATCCTTAGACCATCCCTGAAAGGCATTTATTTGTATTTATAGAGCCCTATGTGGGCACTTCTCAAGAGTTTCAAACTATAAACGCTATTAAGGCTTCTTCCGTTCTCTGGCTGCAAGAGAAACGGTTAATTAGTTTTACTGCTTATATATATGTGCCCAGGGCCTTTATCAACTGATCAGGGCAAATACACGTAGGATCACTGTGAGAGTAAGCTATTGCTTTTACAAAAGACATGTTTAAACTATGTAACTAGTTCCCACTTGTTAGTTTGTATAGGCATCTGCATAGTAGTAAGTTTCATCAAAATAATTCCCTCTGGAATGTGCACAATAACAAGGTAAAAAGCTATTGCTTTTTTCTAAATCTGATCTGTTAAAGAAAATTAATTAATTTTGCCACATGCTCATCCTGCACCAAAATGACAGTTGGTTTATATGTTTATTTTTTTGTAAACATACAAAAATGTATAGATTTACAGGAAGAACAGATAGGACAAAGATATATAGAGAAACTTTACTCAGTACCAGCAAGCAGTAATGGGTGGAAAACATTACAGGGAAGTGTTTAAAGCGAGCTTGGTCCAATGTGTAAAATTGTTTTATAATGGCTATTAATGATGTATTTTCAGGTTTTAATATCAGTGCATTTTTAATTTGTGATTCAATACAAATTCACATCTCTCCTGATTAAAAAAAAATAACAAAATAAAACAAAACAAAAATCCTCAACAACTCCATGACATACTTCTGAACTTTTTCAGTCATAGAGCTACTTAGTTGATAAGCTAGTATTGAGTTAAAAGAAGATCTCAATTTAAAAAAGACTTTCCAGATATTGGTCAGTGATTTCTGTAGTCTCCAAAAGCAGAGGCCTCTTCTGGCTAATGGAAATCTGTATAAGGTTTTGTTGGTCAACTTGAAGAGAGCCTTTCACCATCACAGACAAACACAAAAAAGGCTTTTCTCAACAAATGCACACTTGACTCGAGTTAGTCTTCAGGGAGGTAGTGTATTAACAAAAAGGGCACTGACTGGAAGTCAGGAGATTTGGGTTCTATTCCTAGGACTTCCATTGACCTGCTGTATGACTTTGGGCAGGTTATTTCACTTATGCCTCAGTTTCCTACCTATAAAATGAGGATAATGATACTTACCTTCCTTGAAGTCTACAGATAAATGCTAGTAAATATTATATATTCATGTATTAATGGGAGTTGCCTGGGGGAAATTATAGTAAAAAAAAAAGTAGGTTGAACTTAAACACTGAGTGGGGAGAAAGAGCATTAAGAAAACTACCTAGCTGGAGAATGTCAAGGAGCTACTTTAACAGACTGCAAAATAAAATGATGGACGGCTTGTATGACATTTTCATACCATCTGAACATAGTGAAATATTTCAAGTATGCATTGAGGTGTCAGGGGAAGAAAATATTAGGGTATGTCTACACTGGCAAGTTTCTGCGCCACAAGTTATACCACTTTTATTAAAACGCTGGAATTAAACCGCTGTTGCGTGTCCACACTGTGCTCCTTGTGACGCTGGAGCGCATCCACATTAGCAGCTCTTGCAACGGCAAAGACAGTAGTGCATTGTGGTAACTATCCCACTGTGCAACTGGCCACAGGGTACTTTGGGAAGGGTTTGCAATGCCTCATGGGGCAGGCACAGCGTCACATAATGCAGGTTTCCCAATCCCATTGTTCCAGGGGTATCTGACTACATTGCCAGCTGCTTTTCAACTGAAGGTGTGGGAAGAGAATGTGACAGGGAGTGTGTGTGTGTATGGAGGGGGGGAGAGAGACAATGTGTTCTGGGGGACAGAGCGTGTGTCAGCATGCTGTCTTGTAAGTTCAAACAGAGACAGGAAGCAGCCAGTCCTGAGGCAGGGGGAAACCCTGACATCAGCCCCCGCCTCCCTCTCTGGGTTCTCTGCACTGCAATCTCTCTCTCACACTCACACTCACACACACACACACCCCTACCTACCTCTGTGTTCAACAGCGCAAGCATTCCACATTAATGGTTTGCTTTGTATCCCGGAGCAGATCAGCACAGCACACAACCGCTGTCAGAAACAGTGCTTTGAAAGGGAAGGGGCGCATGTCTCCAGGGCAGCCGAGTTCAAAACAATGAGCAGAGCGGTCACTTGAGGCATTATGGGACAGCTCCGGAGGCCAATTACAGGGCAGAAAGCAATCAAGTGTCTACACTGGCAGTAGAGAGCTGGAGCCTCTGTGTAAATAGCCTTACGACTCTTGTCAAGGTGGTTTTTTTGCAGCGCTGCAACTGAGGAGTTTCTGCGTACAAAGTGGTTTGGCAGTGTGTACACGTCTGCAGTTTGAGCACAAAAAGCTGCTTTACTGCACAGAAACTTGCTAGTGTAAACAAGCCCTTAAACAGGTAAAAAGGTGTGTAATTTTTGTATTTACAGATAGTATTGCATTTGATTCCTTCAGAAGAAACAGACAACAGTGATTTGGTCATGGAAGTAACTGCTGGAGTTGGTGGACAGGAAGCCATGCTGTTCACTGCAGAGATATTTGATATGTATCAACAATATGCTGCATATAAAAACTGGAGATTTGAAATACTGGAATATTTTCCGAGTGAAATAGGTTAGTAATTAATGTTCTAATAACTTGAATCGAAAAGTTGTATAGTTAAAAGCAATGTACTTACATGAGGGTTTTGTTGCCTGCCTACAAGCACTTCACTTCCAAATTTAAGTAAACAGAATCAGTAGAGCTGTTTTAATATATAAACAAGATTTTTCTCAATTTTTACTGTGAGAATGAAAGGATGAAAATCTATAGCGTCACACAATGTAGTTGGCGTAGCTTGAGAAAAATCAATATGAATTGAAGTTACATGTTTGGGGTGAAGATCTCTGCATACTGGTATATTTATATATTAAGTATATTTTTTATTGATTTGGAAACAATAGTTTTATATAGCTATTTAATATTCTTGTTTTTATAATATATTCATTCTGTTGTATTCTGAATGTTTGTTCAGTGCTCTGGGTGCTTTGGCACAAAAAGGGGCACTATTTAATTAAAATTATGTTCAGTGTCTAAGCTGAAATATCTTGAATTTATCTGAAATGTTGTCTTCTGCCAAATATTTTCTCATCCATTTAAGTTTTGTTTCAGTAAAAATGTACAATAAAACCTCACTAATCTGCGCCAAAAATGCACATGCTCAATATCACATGTGCTCAATTGTAAATTCACCTGAACAGTACGTTTAAAGGTTGAGCCATTACATAAACCTCGTGATCTCCATTTAACCATATAACTCTTATGATAAAGGCTTAAATAGTGTGCAAGACCTTTCCCTGGAACTCTTCGCTGAAATGAATATTACCCTTTGGGAATTATAGGGCCATATTTTAATGGGCAAACCTTGTACACATGAATTAGTTGTTGCATGCATTTGTACTTCTGAAAATGTAGGTCTGGTTCCTTTGTGAAACCCATCCTCTTCGTAAGCTAGACTGGTCACTTTCTGACTGTCGTAAAATAATCCTTGTGACTCCATCTTAATGAAGATCGGATTTATTCATTTGTATCTTTTATTCAATCTAGTAAAGTTAAATTGTGTAACAGGATTTTTTTAAAAAGCAGAAATATTCAAATATATAAAACTGGTCTATGCTAAAGTCTTCTTCAGTTCTTTTCTCATTGTTAGCTGAGCAATTTGGACTGCTAGTTGCTAATGACACTGATGAGCTCAAGTTTTCTATTATTTCAAAATCTCCTTCTAGAGATGTTATTGTTAACTGGATTAAGCAAATTCCCCAAGTGCTAATTCTTAAACATGCCAAGATTTATAATTCAAGGACATCCATCAGGTAGACTAATTCTATCACAAGTAAACTGATTGTTGTGGTCAAGCGTACCCAGTTTGCCAGTAAATTTTCTTTCCAAGTCACAGTACAGATGGTATAAGGCATTCCTGTGGGTATGCCTTAGGTGTGGGTGGTACTTTGTTTCTTAATCAAGTTAATTAATGTCCATTCTATTTTTTTTTTTTTATTTCCACATGCTGTGGTAGCTTCTAATTAAATATACAATGGTTTACTAAAGCAGATTAACTCACTAAAACGTTTCACAAAAGACATGAATGTAGGTTCACCAAATGGTAAACAAATAAGATGTTTGACCTGTATAGCTTTAACATACATCTATTTTGGAAACATACCAACTTTTGGGATAAGACATGGGAAAGATAGAGAAGAAGCTGAATCACTAAAATCCACTAGAAACTAACTTAATAATCACTAATACCATAGTGCACTTTCAAATATTTTTACTGTGATCATCAATCAGCTTCCTCTTCAGCTTGCTATGTAGAAGAGATACTTATTTAGCTTTTTAATTAGAAATAAATGTGTTTAAGCATTAATATTATAGTAAGCCTAAATTCTATGTAATTGAGCAAGAATCCTTGAATATACAGCAATAAATCTTTTACTCAGTCTGATGATGGCCATATTATACAATTGAAAGATTTCACAAGAATTGTTAGCATGGAGAGCGTATGTTAAAGTTTCAGATTTTTTTGGCAGCCATTCTTATTTACCAGACATATCCAAACTGTATCTTGGATAGCTGTATTTATTAGTGTCGGTATTAAGTGGTGGATTTAACATACAGCATTAACATAATAAACTGATACATCCTGACAAATCACTTAAGCTATAAAGTTTGTTTAATTATGCATTGAGGTAACAAAGCGATACATTTACAAATTCATATAAAACCCTATTTTATTGGCAAGTATGGGTAAAATTTAAAAAGAAATCACCACGATAGGTCAGATGGCTTTGTAAGGAAGCAGGGAGGGAAATGGTAAGGTTGGCATACAGACCATTTGGGCGGGGGGTCAGGGGGGAGGGTGTTCCCTACAGACTGACTTAATGGAATCAAAACTTATTTCTTTTTTGTGAGAAAATGTTAATAGAATATTAAGAGTCTGCAGAGAACAGCAATATTTGCAAACCCCTTAATTACAGTTGTCAAACACCAGTCCCACAATGTGGATCTGGCCTGCTAAATGTATTTTTGGTGGCCTAGATTGCATAGTCAGATTTCTGCACTGTTTTGGCTTTCATTTTAGAAAGCTTCTATCTAGCCCTTGAAGAGATAACCTAACATGTATACTGATGCAGGAATGGCTTTTAGTGATATGTACCTTCCCATTCCTATTAATCTCATTGGGTTTAACTCCAAATTCCAGTTGTGACACTTTGTCAGCCTTAACTATTTCATTGCTGATAATTTTAGTGACTGGAAAGGGGTGGTTGGGAATTGAGGGTTTTTCCTACCTCTCAGCAGGAAAGGAAATGCAGAGAAAGAAGAAAGGAAGAGAAATACAAAAACAGGGAAGAGGGGAAGAGGACTAAAGGTGGATGGGAAAGAGACACAAAGAACAAAAATAGTCGTGGTCCTAAAGTTGACCAAATTTTTCCACTGAGTAATGCTGAATATGGTAAGACACTAACAAATAATAAGTAAGTTTGTTACTATACAGAGACCATATTCCACTCATGATCTTTTTGTAAACTTACTATTGACATCAGTGGGAGTTCCATGAATGGAGGGAGATATGTAGTTGTAAATATATATCATGGCCCATAGATATAATTTAAAATGGCATTTGGCCTCCTCCACAGAATGAATTTGACACGCCTCCCTTTAACAAAAAACCTGCAGGGAATTTTTGTTCTTGGGCGTTTTTTTTTTTTTTCTCATCATTGGGTATAAACCTGACTGAAGATATTAGTTAAAACATTTTTCCTTGTTAACTGCTTGTTTTTTTAAAAAATTAGAAGATAATTCCTATGGAAATTTCCTAGTAGAACACTCAGCCAAGTCTGCCTCTTCATTGTGTAATCAGCAATCTTGATTTTCCCCAACACTGAAAGATACATGAGACAACATACAGAAAGCAAGAGTGCTGCAGAATGTTGAGGAATGGAACACAGGTTGGCTGGTGAGGAGGTACTTTATAATTAAGTAAAGCCTGATTCAGACTACACATAAGTCACTTGATAAATTATTCCTAACTTTTTCCCAAGAACAAATGTCAGTATCATCTAAATAAAATGTTTCAAATTATAATAGGATAGTTATAGTAAGACAGTTTTCTTTTTGTCTTTAAGGTGGCCTGAGACATGCAGCTGCCAGTATAGCAGGTCTTGAAGCATACAAGCATATGAAGTTTGAAGGAGGCGTGCATCGTGTTCAACGAGTGCCAAAGACAGAAAAGCAAGGCCGTATTCACACCAGTACAATGACTATCGCACTATTACCCCAACCCATGGAGGTAAGATGTATTTAAATATAACTACTTGTCCCATGAACAACCCCCATTACCTGCCATCTTGAAGACATGTAAAATCTTTCCCTTTTCAATCTTTTGACCTCTCCCTGATTTTTATGGGGTTATTCCAAAACCCCAAGTCATGTTGTGTCTAATTATCATATTTATGTCCGGAGAGGCTAGATAGCAGGGGCACACACAAGTGTGTGTGTTTGTAGATTTCTTCACATTCCTGCCTCACAAAATTTTCCCACCAACAAACTGTTGTGAGTTCAATAGGATTTTCTCTTACATAGCTTGTGGCAAATTACTTTGTATGAAGTAAGATCTCTTTAGCTTCTATATTTTATATACACTAAGTGTTTGCTAAGCATGAAAAATGTTCCATTCAAAAACAACTTTTAGAACCAAAGTCTATTACAATTCCAGAAGAATGCTTTAGTATATGGGAAGTGGGAATACAAATTGATCGGGGGTGGGGAGAGAAAGGAGGGAAATGTCTCAGGAATCCCTCATCCAAATTTTGGCTCTTCCTAGCTGGACTTCAGCAGAGGTATGTCAACGGGGACTTGTATCTCTGACACAGTGACAAAAAAACTGGAACAAAAAAATGTGGAACTCAGAGATTTCATTTACCTATGCATTCTCTCTAAATTCCATATTTTCCTTCTCCTAAAATGATTTGCTGAGAATTTTGTTCTCATCAGGGGTTTGCTGAGCTAACAACCCTGAACTAGCTGAGAATTAAAACTTTGTATTGATCTTTGCCTCACAGGAGCTTGCACTGCAGTCTGATCACCAGGACTGTATTGTGCTTTCTGAAACTGTTTGGTTGTTGCATCACACTCCTCATCAACTTGAAATGGTTTTGATCTCCTACTGAAATATACTGTTTAAAAAATATCCGAGTGTTTATATTAAAAATAACTGTCATTTGTCTAGAAAGGAAAAACAAAGATGTGTATGGGTTTTTTTTTTCTTCCCTATCATAGATCAATCTGATAATTAATCCTAAAGATTTACAAATTGAAACTAAGAGAGCCAGTGGAGCTGGGGGCCAGCATGTAAATACAACTGACAGTGCTGTACGGATAGTTCATATTCCAACAGGTACCTACAAGTTACTCCTAATAAAGGATCTACAATATGAAACTATTGTCATAACTAAAATGCAGATATCTTATCAGGTTGAAAGGTCAAAAAGCTAAATAATTCTACCTATGTTCTCCTCCTACTTCTTCATTCTCTTTGTAAGAACAATTTTCAGTACTGGGAGACAAAAAAATCATGTAATTTAATATTGGAAAATCCTTATGGGATAAGGGTTTTGGAAAGGATTAATGAAATAACCATTCATTTCTGCAAACTTTATAAAACTACATCCAAATTTAGATCTCAGTGGACATTTCTCCACAGCACAAAACCACTATCCCTCTTGGCACATCTGGTGGCTTCTGCTTCATAGGTCCAGTACTAAATTATTAGTGTGTTGGAACTGAAGATTGAGGTGCATTGGGATACGTCTGTTTTCGGGGAGGTAGCCTACAATTCTCTTGATTACAGTTTATCACTTTCCATGTTTATTAAATTTCACATATAAAGAGAAGTAGTGCTTAAAAGCAGGGTAGACTATTAGGACAATGATTTGCTTGAAAGTGGAAGTACTTGAGTGTGGAGTACTCTATACTTGGAGTTTTACCTCTTCTTAGTTAGCAATGATAATTTTATCACACAAATCAATTTCTGTTGCTTTTGACACAATTCTAGCTTATTCTGAAACCTTGAAGACACTAGAGTTCCATTCTCAAATGTTTTCATAGCTCATTAATATAAAGTGTCTTGTCGACCACTTCTTCCTCCATTCACAGTTTTGCAGACCACCTCCTTTTACAATCCAGTTCATTAAACCATCTCCCTTTTTATTCACAATAACGTCCTTGAGACAACTGCAGCAGTTGCTTATATGGAAGATTTATATTTTTAGTTTTTTAATGCAATTTAGCAGCTGAAAAAAGGATGAGAGGCAGTAGAAGACAGATCTTCAGGAGCCAGCTTGAGACCCACTGAACAGTTGTGTTTGGTGGTTCGCCCCTTCCCCCCTCAGCATCTGGAGAACAGGGTATCTCCTTTTCTACTTAGCATTATGATGTTAGCTCTTTGAAGCAGGCAGTGTCTTTCTCCATTTAACACCGTACTTATTGCTGTGGGGACCCGCTCCTAACTGAAGTGCATTGGTGCTACCTTAATGCAGTTAACTGCAACTCCTCCACCTGTCTCCCATTCTCAGCTATTGACTTTCATCTGTCTTCTGGCTCCTTCCTCATAGCATACAGGTATGCTCTCGTATCTTCATCCTCAAATGCCCTTAAATGCCACGCAATCTTCTTTCTACTCACCTCTGAGCTCTTTCAGTGTGCCATCTACAACAGCTGCCTTGACTTCCCCTCATCCAGCTTCCTTTTGGACCCTTCTTATTTAGCTTCCACTCTTCACCTCCACCAAAACTGCTCTCACCAACATCTCCAACATATCATCAGAGCCAAATTCCAGAATCTTTGTTATCTTCTCCTCTTTGATCTTTTTGCAGCCTCAGTATTGCTGATCACTCCAGTGTTCAACACCTTGTTTTCCCTTGGTTCTTATAGCCGTGACGGGTCCAGATTCTCCTCCGACCTCTCAGATATCTCTTTCAAAGGTTCCATTCTTCTCTCATTATTTTGGCATCCCCTTTTATTTGAGCTCCCTCTATTCTCCCATTGCCAGCAGTCTTGCAACATCAGTCATCTCTTACTCCTCCTTCTCCCAACATATCCAGAATATTACCACTTATTTTACAGAAGAGGACAACTATTACTCTGTTCTGGTTACTAAAATACTTGTCCCATCTAGCAATGGGCATTTTAGATCTTCTTAAGCCTCCCTTCATCCTCCACTGAACATTGGAACACCCACATAGGAAGCCAAGTCCCCGCAGAGCATTAAATATCCCAGTTCCCTTGGGAACCAGAACAGCAGCAGCACATCTTTACAGTCACTGTTTTCTTAATGTTAGACTTACACTCCAAGATGTTGGACTTCAGCAACCAATTACATTGGTTGCTATATGAGCTAATGAACTGTTATCTGATCTGCATGCTATGACACACCTCATCTCTTGACCTTTTCCTATATCATTTTGTTTCTTCTTTCCTCTTGTGCCTGTCTACATCACACCTCCTCCTTTTATGTTCCTTTTCTCCCACTTCCATTATTCCTATCATATCAGCTCCATTCACACTCCCTTATGGCTACAGGAAAAAAAATTACAGTTTTTAAACTATGTTATAAACAATCGGTATTAAAAACACAATCTTATCAGAGCCAGCAAGATATAGATAGATATATAAACAAATCCAAGAAATTATATGAAATTATTTTGTAACCCCTGTATTCCCACCAGCTTATTTCTCTTCCCGGTATTCATTACTCACACCTCTTGCTCCTTGTCCAGCTTAGACTGTAAGCTTTTGGGGTGGGGACCATGTCTTTTTATGGCAGAAGAGTTTAGCATACATTTGTGTGGTGCTATAATAATAATTGTCCACACCCTGATTCTCCCACATTGATTACTGCAGCCTCTTCTTCCCTGGCCCCCCTAATTTCAAAATTTCTTTAATCAAGATCATGCAAAACATAGATGCTAAGATTATCTTCCACACCAGTGAATCAGATTACATCACTCATCTCTTCTTCCACAGACTCCCTATAGCGTATCATATTCAATTATAAATTTAAACATCTTGTGTGTGTGGTAAAGGACCTGCGCAATTCAACCCTAACCTGAATCTCAGGCTAAACTTTTACTATGAATACAATTTTGTTACAGTAAATTTAAGCAAAATTCACAGAATTGTCATAGTACAAAAAGGAAAAAATCAGGGTATGGTTATAGCGGGACTGAAGCCTAAGCTGGAGCAGGGCTGAATCTGAAGCCGAAGAAGTCACGGAACTCTATTAAAATCACAGAATCCGTGACCTCCATGATTAAATCGCATCCTTAACTATTACAGATTTTGGATTTTATTTTTTTGCCTCCCTTAATGTGGTAAAGAAGGTAGTAGCTTGTTTTTACTTTTAAAATAAAAATAATCTCCATTGAAGATGCAATCACAACAATATTTTTGTACTTATTCTTATTAAATGTTAAATCTGATTACATTTTTGCTGTAATCAGGTGTAGTGTCTGAATGTCAACAAGAGAGATCTCAAATCAGAAATAAAGAGAAGGCTTTGCAAATGCTTCGTGCTAAACTATACAGCATCAAACTAGAAGAAGAGACAAGAAAGAGATACAATGCCAGAAAGATTCAGGTAGGATTTACTTTGCAAATGAATAGCTCTGTGCATATGGGGCTGCTGATAGCAAGTTACATTTTAAAATTAGATTAAAAAGAAAGTTAATTGCTATATATTATAGTTAAATGCAGTGCACAAATGTCTTATTCCAGGGGTTCTCCAACTTCATTGCACCGCGACCCCCTTCTGACAACAAAAATTATTACATGAAACCAGGAGGGGGGACTGAAGCTTGAGCCCAGCTGCCCCGGGTGACAGGGCCAAAGCCCGAGCCCCACTGTCCGGGGGAGGGAGGGGGGCAAAGTTTAAGCCCCAGGCAGGGGCCTGTAACCTGAGCCACCCACCCAGGGCTGAAGCCCTTGGGCTTTGGCTTCAGTCCCAGGCGGTGGGGCTCAGGCTTTGGCCCCAACGAGTCTGAGCCAGCCCTGGCGACCCCATTAAAATGCGGTCCCGACTCACAATTTGAGAACTGCTGTCTTATTCCATTAAATTGCAGTGCATAAGGATTGGGTAGGGCTTGGTGGCACAGGTATTTTTCACCCTGGCTAGTAATCTTACACATTGAGCTAGCTGTCATACACAGGGATTGAAAAAAACTTATCTACCATGCATGTAATGTCAATAGCAGCATGATCACGCATTCTGCACTTTTGACTACTCATCTAGTTCCATCAGGACATAGTACTACCCATATTAAATCTCTGAATAGCTTTCAAACTGCTGACTTTGTTTTTTAAATTAACATACCTGAAAAATCTCAGGTACATGGTGGACAATATTCAGTCCTGGGTCAGTGACAGGGTAAAGGTCTGATGTCTGATAACCCATCGCAATTAGAAATTATGTGCCATTAGAAAGGAAAGACTTATGGCTTTGCAGTAGGATACAGCACGTTTCTTATCCAGTGATGGCTACTCTAGCACTTCATATAGGTTTGTAGTAACTATAAGAACACTACAGTTCTTCACACATATATAATATATATGATCTAAGAACTCTAGGAACTTGTTTTTCTTAGCCATAGCTATAGTGAACAGGTCTGTAGGTTAGTCCTATTACTAAATCTCTGTCATGAATATTGTGTATTTCCAGTAGGAAGTAAACAACTGATATTCAAATGCTTAACCAGTATATTATTCTATGCTTAAAAAGAATACCATGATAATAAACTGATTCTTCTTATGTGGTAGATTGGGACCAAAGGAAGATCCGAGAAGATCAGAACATACAACTTTCCACAGGATCGTGTAACTGACCACAGGATAAACAGAACAGTGCATCATATTGAAAGTTTTATGTTAGGGGAAGAACCGCTAGATGAAATGATAACATCCCTGAGGGAATATGCTGATTATGAAACTTTAATGGAAATTATTTCAGAAAATGTAAAAACAAATCTGACCTGAACTTTGTTCTTTGCTAAGCCCTGTAATGACAGATATGGCTACCATGACACAAATTAGCTGCATGGCTGTTCGCTGGAGCATCACACAGGAGGTGTAAACTGCATTTCAGATCATCAAAAAGGATTAATTTATCTCTTCATGACTGCTAAACAGTTTTTCCTACTTGCTGGAGTAGAAGACTATAGACTTTTGTATGAGATGACTGCAGTGTAGAAAATCTAAAGTAAATATGATTGAGTTTGAAGTGATTGCAGTTTTTACTTTCTCACCTGAGGACATTGCTGCTCTACTCTCAAAAGGTATGCAGAAAAACGGAGTTGCTTCTAGTTCTAGGCTTCATCTGAGCATAAAAATCTGTTCCATACAGTATAAAGCCAAGGATGCAGGGAGCCTCCCTTTTATAACATTTAGGCCAGTGGTTAGGGTGCTCAACTGTGAGTGGGCTACTCTTACCTCTCAGGTGAGTGACCTAGCCACTTGACTATACAAAGACTCTGTTTCTGTCTCTGGACTAATTAATATTTAATTATCTTATTAAAGTAGAATGAATTCAACGAGAGAGTGAGAGAGACCTACATCAGAATATTCCATAGTCCAGTGGCTAAGGTACTCACCTGAGAGGTGGGAGACCCCTATTCAAATCCCTTCTCATCAGGCAAAGGGGGGAATTTAAATTATGGTCTCCCATATCTCAACTGAGTACCTCAAGCACTGAGCTAAAAACTACAAGGGAGACCCCCTCTTCCCCACAGCCATTTTGTGTGGAGTGAGACAGGCACCTAAACTGTTTCTTGTGAAAATGTCTTAGGCACCTAAGTCACCTGACTCCAAGGGAGGGGTTCCTGGTTGTGGATCACAAGCAGAAATAGGTGCTTCCCTGCAGATCAGATTTAGGCACTGAACTTTAACAGGCACCTGAGATGACCAGGCTTTAGGACACACCTTTCTCATCAGCATTTCCTACCGTGCCTAGCTTGCTGACGTTCGTGGATCCCATTTTCCGGTGCTCTCTCTCCCCATGCATTGTATAGGGAGCCTAGACACCTAACATAGGCTTTGTGGTTCCAGTGATTTTCAAGGCATCTGAAAGCTAGGCTCAGTATTGCAATGCCCATGTTCCTTTGTGGATTTTGGATGTACTTTCTTGAAGCCTGAACTTCAGGTCTTCTAGTTCTTGCTTTCCTCTTTTTATCGGTTATATGCTATTAGAAAACTAATGGTGACTGGACTATTTTCTGTAACCTTCAGTAAGATGCTAATCTCAGCTGTAAAGGTGGAGTTTTTATTGTCTCTATACATTGTTGTGCTCATTAATCATGGCTGTGTAAGTGTTGCATTAGCAGCCCTGGAGATCTGAAGTCCTTTTACTCAGAATGGCCCAGCCTGGGGATGGCAATGCAAATTGTCCTGCCAGTGTCATTAAAGATGGCAATTCTTGCAAGAGTAAGGCAAATGCCAATTAAATATAAAGTATCTTAGCTGATAACAAAAATACCTGTTCTCTCCTTAAAATCAGCTACTGTACTGGAGAACTGGAGGGTAGCAATTATATTTGAGTCTGTCTTTCTAAAGGTGGTATAGGTAATCCTGGAAATTATAGACCGGTGAATCTTATTTCAGTACCAGGTATAGGAACAAATCATGATTTATGTAAAGAAAAATTCTGCCTTTCTGATATGCTGGTATTTTTTGTGTGGTTAAAATAGAGGATAAATGAGAAACATTACATTTATATTTGGGTATGCAAAACACTGAAAGCAATTGTGACTGTCCACACACACACACACACACACACACACACACAGTCATGATCAGCACAATCTTTATACCAGACCATACCATCATGTATTGCATGTATAATAAAATCTATAGGGCAACAAATGAGTCATATAATGAGGAAAAAATTTGCTATGGGTAAAAATGTTTACTTCCGATTTCTATTTAACAAAATCACCATAACATATTAGAATAAAAATAAGTTAGTATTTGCAACAAACTTAGCAGGAGTTTGCTTATAAAAAGCATAATTTCAATAATGTATATATAAAATGTAATTTAATGTGTTGTAAATTAAGGAATGCAATTATAAAACAAAACATGATCAAGTTTATATCTACATTCCATTATCTTACATTTACTTGCTTCTCTAGTTTGAACCAGTAAATATACAAGCTCTTTGTATAAAATTAAGGGCTCGTTTAAACCTGGCTTTCCAGAGGCTATTTTGTTTCCTAAGATGATCCTGTATGCTGGCCTTCGTACTAAGCTCTATTCTGTAAAGCAGTGATGCACAAGCTTAACTTTACCCATTAAATTAGTTCCTTTGAAGTCATGGGAGTACTTACACTCAGTTAGGTATCTGCACCACTTTTTGCAAGAATGTAGCCCTACTCTTCACAATTTTGATATATTTATATGCAAAATCAGAAGTGTACAGTCATATTGTGTATCTGTAAGTGCAACCCCCATCCTCTTCAAGTTCTTGAGTTCTTAAAATCACCTCCCTGCCATTCTAGTACTAAGGTCAGAATACAGGATCACTTAGGGAACAAAATGGCTGCTGGAAAGAGAAGGGCTTATTTAAACCTAATAGTTGCCCACGTGGACAGTATGTCCTCCATTGCCACCTAGAGCTTTGGCCACAGCCAGTATCCTTTGTTGCTGCCTATTTCTAGACCTGGACTCTTGTCTTATGCAGATGGTGGACTTAATCCTGAATTGCTTCTCCACTGCAACTGAGAATCTTAAACAAGAAGTATTTAAAGGAATAAGCATTGCCATTGTTCTAATAGCCTTGGAAATTTTAGTAGCCAGGCAAGCAGAGTCTAAAGCAAGTGGATTTTTGGTTTTATTATGGGGGAGCATGGCAACCTGTTCCGTCCTCTCCTTTCTCCAAATAAAGTAAATCCCAAATTGCTCACATGGAGGATCCTTGTTAAACATATTTTGCGCAGCCTAGAAGTGCTAGACAAGCCAGTGCTGAGTCAGGATTCTGCCTGCTAAACTCTGTTCCACTATTGTCTAGGTGACACTGAATATTTGGGGGTACTGAAGAACTTTGGTCAGCTCACAACTGGGGGTGAGGGAGAAGGTTGGAACCTGACAACATAACATAAACCAAACCACAGCAAAGGGTAAGTGAAACTGCAGCTCCTGTAGTTCAAGGGAATAATGAAATGGTGCAATAACATATAAAGGGGCAGGAAACATTAATTTGCAGGGAATATTACACCTAGGGGAATTCTGCACCAAATATTTTAAAATTCAGCACATCTTATTTGTCAGAATAACACAGTATCATCATGCTCCAGCTCTCAGACCCAGGCTCTCTGGCTGGGGGAGCCCTAGCTGCCCCTGCCAGGGAGTGCTGGTGGTGGGGACGAGGGGGTAAGAAATTCTGCAGGAAAAAATAAAATTCTGCAGAGAATATTAATTCTGCATTGTGCAGCATTCCAGTGGGAGTAGACTACACTGCAGCTTATGGTTAACATGAGCCTGCTCTATTTGTGCTAGCATATTGGAATGACCTTCATTTCCACATCTCCCTTGGGATGTTCCCAAGGAGTTTACATAGCCTGTAGGGCGGCCTAGCACCTGCCAATGGGGTACAATTACCCCGACTTTATAGATTGGAGAAACTGCAACACGAAGATGGGGGAATGATTTACCCATGGTCAGAGAACTTAGAACAGGGGTCGCCAACGTTTGGCACCCGGCTCGCCAGGGTCAGCACCCTAGCGGGCCGGGCCAGTTTATTTACCCCCTGACGCGGCAGGTTCGGCCGATCGCGGCCCCCACTGGCCGCGGTTCGCCCTCCCGGGCCAATGGGGGCGGCGGGAAGCCGCGGCCAGCACATCCCTCGCCCGCGCCGCTTCTCGCCGCCCCCATTGGCCCGGGACGGAGAACTGCGGCCAGTGGGGGGCCGCGATCGGCCGAACCTGCCGCGTCAGGAGGTAAATAAACTGGCCCGGCCCGCCAGGGTGCTTGCCCTGGCGAGCCGCGTGCCAAACATTGCCGACCCCTGACTTAGAACTAAACCTCAGTAGCAACCGCATGTCCCCGTCCTCTGCAGTAAATACTTCCCCTGAAAAAGTGATCCGCACAGCCAGCGCAGAGCACCCAGGCGCGGGGTGACTGTATGGAGCAGTGCGAGCGCTGGGACCCAGGGCGGCACTGAGGAGGTTCAGAAAAGCCGCCACCGCCGCTGGAGCAGCGCCGCATTCTCTCTCCCGCGCTCCACGCGTCCACCCCCGAAGAGAGCGCGCGCGCGCGCTGAAAGGCTCCCTCCCTGCTTTTGGACACGCCCATGGACGCGGGCTCGCGCTTGCCTCGCTCTTCTCCCTCAAAAGAGGGAAAATGCGAGGGAGGCGGGGCTCAGCGCGAGACCCGGGATTGGCCGCCGTTTACAGCCTCCCCGCCATTGGCGGCCGCGCTCGTGGGGCGGCACCTGATTGGCCGCCGGGATTTTGGATACCAAATTCAAAGTTTTTAAAAGTACCCGGCAAGCGCGGTAGCCGCCCAGAGTCACTCACCGGCCGCGGTTCGCGCGGAGGGAGCAGCGCCCAGGTACTGTGGCCGGGCCGGGGGAACGGGGCTGAGGAGCCGCCGCAGCGGCAGGAGGTTTGACTTGCCCCCGTCTCAGAGGCGGTGGGCCGCGGGGCTGTGACACGTCCCGGGTCAAGGCGGGCTCGGTGCCCGGGCATCCTTGGCCGGGCTGGGGCGCCGGGGGATGGATGGCGGGAGCGGGGCTCTAGCTCCGGGCCTCGGTTCTTGTGCTGGGGAAACCGAACGTGCCGCGGGGCGGGGGCTTCCCCAGGGCAGCCGCCGAGTGGCACAGACTCGGGTAGCCCGGGGGTCCCTGGGGAGCTGCCTGCCTCTCATCACCCCCCCCCCCCATCTCAGGGCCTTGCGGCCACTTGCCCCCCGGTCACTCCTCTCGGGTTCCCCCCCTGCCGCGGGATGGCGGGCCCCGCGCTGCTCCCCCCAAGCGAGGGTCTCGGCGGGCGGGAGGAAGGCTG